GACCTCGTGATCAGCAAAATTGTTGTTGACAAACTCACATTCTTTGGAAAGCATTTGTTTTGTCTAACCAACGTATCCTGATAAACGAAATCAAGTGAGCAGATCAATTCACTTTGATACAAATCAAAGTGTCAGTTCATACCTGAGATGTGCAAGAGTCAGATGTGCAACGGAATACAAAATCTCGAGTTTCTTCAAACAAATGCTGTTCACAGAAATGTCAAAATTCGGCTTTTAAGGATCTCTGGAGATATGTCCCGTTAAGATTGAAATTTCATGAACAAAATCTTTTCTAGAACATCAGAGGTGTTCCTTTAAAAGGCTTCTTTGGAATTCGCGGCCCCACTTGCAAGTATCAAGGAAAATGAAAATAGATGTTACGATTAATAGTAATAATAGGCTAAGGACTTGGTAAGATAAAGATAAAACACACTCCAGTTCATGAATAGTAAAAGACCTAAATATGAATAAATCTTGGTAGATCTGAACGAATTCCATGAGCAGCCTTAAAATCGACAAGTGAATTCGTGAAGTCAGTTGAGCCGACTAAACGTTCAAAGATAGAACTCTTAATCTTACGATTAAAATTGATTGGAAAGAGATCACTTCACTGAATTTCGTGTTTTTAATGTTTAATTTGATAATTATATACTGCTGTTTAGTCAGTGGATTGCCTGATATGACTTTCATATCCTGTTTGTATATGTGCAACTCACCAGTTGTTGTTAAATGGGCACAAGAGTTTAAGAACTTTTAATCCCGAAACATTCTCTTGTTCGACGAGTTATAGGGTACAATTTATTCTTCAATAAATAATAAAACTTTAGTTCAACAAGTTACTGATGACTATTCAATGAGTAGTTTGTATCACAAGCTGATTTCAGTCCAACAGCCACTGAAAACCTGAAAGTATAGGACTTTTATTTCACAAAAGTACGCAACTAGTCAGCAGTACGTCATCATGACCCTAACTATGATTACCGGACACAATGAAGGACAACTGCGTAATACCGTCTTTGACTGAATTCAGGAATATAAATCACAAGATGTCAAATCACTGATCTTAAGATCAACTCCTGTTGAAGTCATAGTTGTTCATTCGTTAACAGTTCCACATCACATCTGTTCAATAATTAACACATTTCAATGTTTATGTAACCGAAAGCCAGTTCATGATGTGAGATGAAAATAAACTCCATTCAAGTATACAACTTAATTAGGATATTCAACTGTTTCAGAACACAATTCTATCTTTGAACCATTTATTACTTCCAGTTCTTGTTAGTATCCACTTGTGAATTCATTTCTCATTACCAAATCGTATATCCATTTGCAGTCATTTCTAAAGACTGAATACACCATTTCATGAGTAAACGTGTTTCATAACTAACTACCTAACTAACCACATGTAACAATTTAAATTGAGCTGATATACATAAGAATCAACATAGACACTGTTTAATGAGTTTTAGTGCTGTTGTGTTATTGGCAAACATTGAAACTATTTCTTCTCTACTGGTGTGACATTGAACAATGATCTCCTCCTTCAAATATTCATTCGTTCCAACTCACAGTGATTTTTTGTCGAAATAAGTGAATTACAGATTGTTCATTTCAATATTCCAGGTTGAACGTACATTATTCAATCAATTGTCTAATTACTACCATTATTATTCATTTTCCATTGTTCGTTTGAGTCTTCCCATCGATGATTAAAACTGCAAGTGATCAGTTTCCTATTGAGAAGATAAAGACAAACAATAGAAAAGAGAGTGTAAACTTTACCTCATTGTACAAGCAAGTGACTGTCAGAAGTTAGTAGCTAAGTGGATAATACGATGGTGTTTGACGCAAGTCCCAGAGTGAACACTAAATCTGAGATGCAGGTATATCCAGCTGACCAGTTCCAAATAGATTAAAACGTGAGTCAAACTGGATCCCACTACTAGCCGTTATACATCTTTGCCTATAAAGATTGAGACGTTTTCGATAATTCAACTTAGTCATCAACACATAGAACAACGTTGAGTGATAGATTGCTTGAACATATCAAATATGGGAAAAACATTAATCAGTGGTCATCCAGTGGTTAGTGGAAAATGTGTTAAAATGACCATAGTCCATACATGACAGTTAATCATCCACTCGATGACTATGATGAATGAAACACATAAATGAGCAAATAGTTAACACCACATTGTTTGATAGATAGTGAGCAGCCAAATTATTGAGTGAGAAATTATTATTGTTTTTAAGGCGGTTGCTTTTCAAATCACTTTAATCGTATCCCATGTAAATGGAAGGGGTTTTGTTAATGAAATGCCACTCCCGTACAATAATGAAAACGACTGCACACTATTGGAAGTGACACATTCCAGAGGGGTATGCAGCCCGTTTTGATCGATTTTCTCGAACTTGCCTAAAAGTCCAAAAGTCTTGAACCTGTGTTCACTAAGGAATAAGATTTGAAAAGGTATTGGGGATTCTGTCCCATTTACCTGATTCAATATACACATAAAACCAACGCATATCCGTTCTGTTACTTCCTATACAATTTTCAAAGTAAAATTTACTATTTTGTATTCTCAGTGTAAACTATTTGAGCGTTTACTTAACAAGCATATTTCTGTTGACCTCAGTTGTCTATAGAAACATCATTGATTATACTTTGTTATAGTCTATCACCTTATTCTATTTCACTAATCAAACAATATGGTATTCTCTATACTGTATAGTGCTGTATATTGGGCGTAATATGAATCTTAGTTGGAATCAAAATTATCTCATTCCAATGATGTGACTCAACTTCACGGAACTAAAATGAGTGAATTTCTCATTTTTACAAAAAATTGCAACCTTTCTAAATATAAAATAAAGTGAAAACAAATTATTTGGCTCTCAATTCATAGAAGGTCTTGCTCCATTTATGTATGAACACTGTAACCATTTACCATCTGAGTTGTGTTGTTTAACTAACTTCATTATTATTATAAGCAACAATAAGTTTTGTTTGTGATTAATGTTTTATCCCACTTCAGATCGATTTTCGTACACCGAGTAAGTTGCATAACGTCAAAAATGGAGTGTATCTCACTGACGAGGTGGATCAATAATACTACGGTGAATACGACAATGTTTGAATCCATGAGTCGATCTAAGCTAGAACACCATTAAAAACCTGGAAGCACAATATATCACACTTGGCGAATGAAATTAGATGAAGTTGAGGATATATGACTTTTGATTGAAATCACGAACCAATCAATATGATCACTCTATGAGAAACCGGAAAGCTCTCAGCATTCTGTTTGTTGTAGTATGCGACGTCTTAGCATTGCAGTCCTACACTCTCACACGCTGAAATCGATTCTGAGACGTATATTCTCGAGCGAACAATTAACTTCTTGCCACTGAGTCTTAGACAATTGTGTTTACGTCTCACTTCAACACATTCACGATATCAATATTAAATCAAGGTTACCTCCTTTTCATTATTGATGCTGACTGTTCATGCCGACATGCCAATCCTGATAATAAATACCAAGAGAAAACATTGCGTTAAAGCTAATTTTTCAGGTCTCCAGTCATGTGGCTAGGAAAGTCGGAGTACTGAGAATTATGACAGTTGGTCGTGGTTGTTTTTGAAGACAATGGACAAACTTCAACACTTTACGACCACTGACTACATCATGGATCACTTCATGGAACATGGCTGAAGAACAACGTAAACCAAACGTAAGGTAGTTGTATTTAAATCCACCACAAAGAAAAGTAATTGTTGGTAAATGTTATGAAAGTTTATCCGAAAGAATCTGAAGATAGACTTCCTGTGTGAAGTGTGCTAATTATGTACACATAAGTAGTATATGACGTGAGTACTGAACAGAATATCTGGCAGCAGAGAGACGAGAAGATGGAACAATAAAGAATGAAGAAAAAATGCAATTTGTATGGAAATGCAAGAACAAAGGAACTCTGAGTCATTTGAGACAATTGGTGAACAATTTGCAAATTAACGATTTAAAATATGGTTGTTGGACTTTACTAGCTAGTTCTGTTCACTACACCAGTTTCACAATGCACTTTAGAACAATGAATGCGACTAGAAGTATGTTCAGCTTCAACTGTGGGAATCCAATGTCAATAACTGAATTTGTTATCCTTCTTAGCGCCTAACAAAGCAGCCATGACAGTTTTAATCAGAGCATAGAAATCTTCTTTGAAAGCTGGTGAAGCCAAGTGCAGTTAGTGTATTCCTTAAGGTAGTCCTCAACGTGAACAATATAACAAACAATGCAATCTTTGTGAAATTTTTCCCATATTTCCATGAGATTTGGACCGATTATTGACGCGACAGTGTGCTTGATTTCATATCTGTCATGTTATTTAGCGACGCTGAGAAAGGACTGTTACCGATTTATTGAACCTATACCTTTCTTCATTATTACTCGAGCACCAGCTTAACCCTATAGAATTATATAGTAATCAACATTCAAAAGATCTAATTAAAAACAACCTGTCATCAAGGTTTTACTAAACAGTGAATAATCGAATAACGGATGAATGAATTGACTTGGTAAATATTGATGCGGTATTCCGACATTTCAGTTTCGAACAATGAACGTCGGCCATTTCCAGTGATATCTTCCAGTGATGGGACTTCATCAAAGTGGACATTCACAACGAATTCATTGTTGATTGCAATTGACACATAATCACGTATACACGGTACTCTTAATTCACGAGGGCAATGTTGTAAACTCTTGTAAAACTAATCAGCTTTTACTGAATGAAAACAATCACGGAACTACAGAAAACCATATTTTATATTGTACGAACAAAATTATATTAGCCATTAAATAAACAATCATGGTAGTCGCGTGCTGTCCCATGGAACAATCTCCGATTTACTGAAATGATTAACATAACGGAAAGTGTTTACAATAAAATAAAAAAGGAAAATGAAAGAGTCAGCACGATGAAAACAAACAAGAAGTCGTTTATGATAAACATGGAATACTTTTCTTCTTTCTATAAAACCATATTCCAATGGCACAGACGATGCATATAACAATGAATGTGACAACTATTGGTACGATAATATACGCGTCATTGTGAGACATTCCTTGTTCTTTATCTCCAGTTACTTGTGCACTCATATTCTGAAAAAGCAAAACAGTACAGCAATTACTTAATATCAAATATTTACCAAATGAGTTTCAGTGTTTTCAGTAGTCTGCTTCAATTCAGTTCTTAGGTCGGTTACAGTACTTGTTGGAGTTGTTTTGTCGTCTTCGATAAGTGTTGGTCCATTCGAAACGCTGATATTCGAGCTATTCTGAAGAATAAAATAGTGGCAATATTACTCAATATCATATATTTACCAAATCAGACTCAGTTTTGTCAGTAGTTTCTTTCAACTTATTGCTCAACTCGCCTTCGATTATTCCTGGTGTTATTTGGGAGTTTTTGTCAGGTGTTGGTTCAATCGAAACGTCAATCAAGCTATTCTGAAGAACGAAACAGACGTAATATCACTAAATATCAAATATCAATCAGATATTTCATCATTCATCATACACTATTGTCAGTATGGATGACACAAGTGAATTCAACAAATAGTTACTTGATTTACATTTGCACAATGTGATCAATGAATAATGATTTAGGATATCTGGTACCGATTTGACAGTCAATGTGATAAGTACACATTATTCTACAACTAACTGACGACTTATACAGGTGTGATGAATTTTGTTTCCTGGTTGTCACCTGTAATCACAATCTAAATATTAATCAACATACTTACAAATGTCAGCTTTATTGATGCAGTCTATGAAGGACATATATTTCTCAACAAGAAATCAGAAATACCTATACTGAAATTGAACAATCCGAGTCTAAGAACTTTCACCAATCATTCAACCATTCTACACAATTGTCGACAGATTACGCTTGATCATTCAGGCTGGTTTCACCGGTATTGTTCAACAGTTTCCGTGGACATATGGTTTCATATTAGACATCGGGAATCACTTCACATTCTATGAGCTGAAAAATTGATGTGTTTCCAGGCATTAGTGTTAAACAACGGTTCTATTGATTGTTGAATGTCCACATGGAAACAAAGCATTGTACTGATGTCCGATTAAATATCGTCAACGTATACAATGCTTCGATTTATGCATTGAGCGAACAATACAAATCACTACTTATTCGTAGCAATAAAACGTTCTTCCGAGTAAATTGATTTATAAGGTGGAATATGCTGATACTGAAAACAACCTGTGGAGTCTAGCAATTACTTACTTTATTCTGGCAAAGACTGACTTTGAAGTCCTGAGTATTCTTATCGTTGCTAGTAATGCACATATTAGCTTTTTCACACCACAAACACCTTGTGTTCGATGTTGTAGCGTCTTCACATGCTTTACTCGACTTGTGCTTTGGACAACCTTTAGTGGAAACAATAAGGTGATTGCATTTCAAGTTATGAAAGAAAACATCAGTGAACTATAAAACGCGTAACTATAACTCAATGAGATCATGGTGATTTCGGAATTGAGTGACTATTTCATTCACTGTGAATTTGTCATTACATCGCCCAATGCGAAATTCCGTACACTTTCAATGTCATACATATTTTACGACAACATGTTGGTGTTGAACAAAATTACGTTCAATAATGAACGGTGAGTTTTGACGAGCGAATGTCGTGGATTTCAATGACTGTCAATATTCAGAAATGTACATATTGGGCTGTAAATGAGTTCAGCAAAGCTGACTGCATTTGATTTTAGATGGTTGTCGAATTTCATTTGATGATGTCAGTTTTATGACTGAAAGATTGCTTGTATACCACTCCTACTTATGACCAATGGAGAATTAAGTTGAAAACTCATTCAAACTGACTACTTGGATATCGATGCAAGAAAGTCAGTTGATCAAAGACACATAATGCATTTTCAACAATGTGTTTCTGCGATTTCAATACCTCGTGAAAATTCACTATCATATGTTCGAGATGAAAAAAACAGATGACACTGCCAAATCAATGCAAAATCAACTAACTAACTTATATCATCTGATCTATCGTTTCATGGCATTTCGTTTCAGTAAATTTCATCAAAGTGATGAATTTGATCGTGGTTCGAAATGCGTCTTTAATCATTTGAAATATTCAACAGTGATACGACGTGTGATGTGACGAGAGGTCAGACTGATGGTCGGATATCATTTAATAATTGACCGAAATTATACATGAAATGTTCATTTTTATGAAGCGAAAATTGTGCAATCGAGTGTGAGAATAGTCAACTCTGATAAAATAAGGGTGAACATACCGCCGTCAACTTCAAACTCTACCAAAGTTCCAGTTTTGATCCATTTTCCATAAACAAACATACGCGTCAATATCTTTTTTCCTTTTATAAGTAGTACAGAAAAAGACATTTAAAATATTGATTTTCATTTTATGTATAACAAAATAGGAAATAGTTTAATATCTTATCATGGATACAATGGTGGTTAAACAACATTCTCACGTAACACGTTTCAAATCAACTTTGGATTCGAAAGTGATCATTGTTCAACCAGTAAATGAAAAGTGATATCGTTAAATTTCTGGTTTGTGTCATCAGGGTTTCAGTGCAAAATCTTCAAAAAATATGTTCAAGTTGTTAGTAGTGATTTCATAAATTGTCAACATTGACGTTGGCTGTGAAAAGACATTTCAACAGATCATCAGGTAACTCCTAAGCAAATGCTTCATGTATTTTCTCATATTCAATCATTAAAGGCTGCGTCCAACCTAATCACTTACATTAAAGGCTTGTCTTGGAATTTAGCTTCATCTATCAACAACATACAACCATGTCAGCGTAGCGCGACGTTTCAGCATTGTGTAAAACAACTATGAGACCCGTTTGACAAAATATGCTTCCTTTTTTCATTAAGAAGTGGAAGGATAAGGGCTACAGGTTTGACTGATTCAACAGTGAGTGAGTAAATAAAATAATGGTTGTATCATCTACCTAATTTGGTCGTTCATATATCTCTGGCTGGATCAGTCAATGCGTAAACATATGCGAAATATTCCTCAAACTATCCAATGACTCTTTATCTCATGTGACATGACATGTGTTGGCATACAGAAAATACTGTGCAAATAGATAGTAATATTACTCCAACAAATGCTTGTTCATGTATTTCAATGTAAATCAGAATATAAAAGACATTTGTTACCTTCTACTCCACACTGAAATTCACCGTTAAGGACCGATGCCAATTCGATTTTCCGGATTTCTTCAGGAACCTGAAGAGATGTAATAGATGTCTGAGTCAAGATCTGTCAACACACTAACATCTATAACAAAATCAACAAACCATTCAAGTAATGTGTCGTCATTCACATAGTCTACATGCACAAATACAAATTATCACACTCACAGCAAACATACTGATCGCCTCAGTCCCCTTACAACTATGTTTCATATAGTCTACAAACATATTCTGACTCAACTCAGTTGTCGAAGTCAGAGCAGTTAGATGTACGATCCATCTGTCATAGAATGAGGCGATATATTGTGAGATGAATATCCGTGTCGGTTGATAGAAATGTGATTGTGAGTAACTTCAATATTTCTGTACGTGAATATGTTGTCATGTCGTGTGATTGTGTTGATGAGCTCACTTGCATCTATTAGCGTTCATTTCCCTGGTGAATGCTTTCCATGATGTGTTCTGATTACCTCGAAACAATCAAAACCGATCCAGTTCGGGACACATGACACCTTTCATTTTACAAGCCCATCCTGGCTGCCTGTATTCCGAATGGGTGAATTAATAAACTCTGACATTCAAACACTTACACACTGAGAAACAATCAGTATTTGAACAGTTTATCACTAAGGTTATTCAACAGTGAACTTTTCAAACATCTAATCTTCAGAAGGCGTAACGAAGCTTGACAATATATAATTGTTTCCTTGTAATGTGGTGTGGGCTACTTATATCCATATAAGAAGTATATGATGTTAGGCAGGAACAGAATGTCTAGTGGCAGAGAGACAAGAGGATCGAACAGTAAAGATTGAAAACAGGATGCAATTTGTATGAAAGTGCCAGAACAATGAAGTCTGAGTCATTTTGAAACAAGTGATGAACATTTTGCAAATTAGGCATTTACTATATGATTGCAAGATTTTACTAACAATTTATGTAATTTCCTATCAAATTCATTCTTTTATCTCGCACTCATGTTCCTGTTCACCACAGTAGTACCCTGACGTACTCTGTTTTTACTTAGTCGGCGCAAAGACACCAGAATTTCTTCAATTACCTTCCTATCATTCATTCTTTTATAAAAGTGCTAGAATAAAGTTTAGCACAAAAGGATGGGTAATAGTTTCATGTAGTCTGTGTGCACATTAACGAATGATGATCTCTCCCTGTCGTGGTCACTATACCTTGTTGCATTCGACTGTATTGAATTGCATTAAATAGTGGAATAATCTGAAGTAATTGAAACAAAACAACAGTTACATTCAATTGTGCGACTTACGTTCTCATAATACCAAGATATCTTCCCGCTCGGGTGCATGAGATTTAACATCTTTAATGTAAAATCTGCAACAAGAAGACTGTCGTTATTTAAAATTTCAGGAATTTATGATGAGCATGTTATTGTCAGACGAGATATTGTATGTGTTTACCCACACAGTGATCAGATTTAGGCAGATATTTACCGTGTTATCTCAAGTGATTTGTTTAGCTGAATTCGAAGTAAATATAATCTGCTGAACTTCATGCATCTCTGCCTGTAGCTCTTCTATAATTACTTAGGCTCACAAGACTGGGTAAAGAAGGAGGGTTGAGCATGAGGTCGACAATCCCATACTGTAGAACAAAATTTTGCTAATAAACGCCAACCAGATTAAACAAAGTTAGCCATTTAAGCTCTGCCCTAAGAGCTGAAAGAAGAATTAGAACGCCTCGTGGATCCACAATCACCAAAGTATCCTTCAACGAAATTAGAACGGGATCAGGATGAATGTTTTCCAATGATTTGTACCCACTGATGACAGCAACGACAACAATAAAGATCAGTTTCATGAGAGGCTAAAATCATGGGAGATATAAACACCAAACTCGAAAATGATAACATCGGATATGAACAGAATCGCAAGTGTGATATAAACACAAATACAACACGTGAATCAACTGTATGGTACAACGAAGAAAATATCACGGAGATATAATAAACCATAGAAACCGAACAAAGAAGGAAAGATAATCATCGTGATTCAAGAATTGAGGAATGGATGGGTAGAGTACTTTGAGGAACTGTTGGATAGACCAGCTCTATTGAACCCACCGGACATCAGAGAAGCGCACAAACACCTGTGAAAGCAGCAGGATCTGACAATATACCAGCTGAAGAGTTTAAGTCATACGTTGAAGTAACTGTGAACATGCTTCAGCTTCTATTGAGGAAGAATTGAGAGGATGACGAGACACTACAATCATCGTCGAACAATCAGTCTGGTAAAACACGTCACCATGCATCACCTTTATGGACTATGGAAAGGCGTGTGACAGTGTGGATGGGAGAACATTATGGAGCCTTCTTCGAAGTTATGGAGTTCCTGAGAAGATTGTCAATATTATCCGAAACTCACAAGACGGAATACAGTGCAAATTGGTGCATAGAAGACAGCTGACAGATGCATTCCAAGTGGGGTCCGGAGTCAGACAAGGCTGTCTACTCCCTTTCTTCTTCTTTCTGCTGGTGGTTGACCGAATTGTGAAGGCGTCAACACCTGAGGGAAAGCACGGAATACAATGGACAGTTCAGAACCAATTAAACGATTTTGACTTCGCATATGAACTAGCTCGCTCATCCCCTACAAACGAACAAGGAGGATTGTATGCAGGCGTAAACGTGAGGGTTTGCAAAGCGATGGCTGACTTCATAAAATAAACTTAAAGCAACGGTTATCGTAAAACTGCATCACGAGGCAAGCGCTAACTTGGGATCCTGATGGGAAGCGAAAAAGTGGAATACCAAAGAACACATGTCGGGAAATAGAAGCAGACATGAAAAGGATGAATAGCACCTGAAAAGCGGTCGAAAGGATTGCCCATGATAGTCTTGAATGGAGAGCGATGGTGAGCCGCCTATGCTCTTCCACGAGGAGTAAAATATCTTCAAGCTTCTAATTAGATCTGATAGCTGGGTAGATATTCACATTGACGCAATATTGTCTATAATTACTCATGGTACAATCGACTTCAAGTGCACATGACGTGAGCTGTGGAGTGTTTGTTTACAACGAGAACTTGATAATTGATTGTGCAATACATTGGTAAATCAGTCGATCAGATGGCTCTGATCACAATATTGTTGAAAGTAAGATGTGAATAGCCTTATATATATCGTCTTTACAATCTCATAATTTAAAAGAATAATATCTAAGAATGACTGTGTAATGAGTGAATGTTTTGATGAGTGTGGTGTTCCGATGCACACATATGTACATTTTTTTGTAGACAGATTTCTCATCTGGTTTCTTTTAAACCCGTCAATGAAGATGAATCTCTGTATTCGCTTATTCACAAGTGGAATGAGATTGTGACTTGATTCATCCACACTGATCTATTGATTACTTGTCTAATCTACTATGTTCGTGCTTATTCCAACTGTTCTTTATGTCTCGATCAATGTGTTCAAACGATCAGTGGGTTCCACATATACTTCCCACCTAATTTTTCAGAATGGCTACTCTGCGTATCTCCTGTCAGTTTTTGGATGGAATTCAATTACGCGTGTTAAACAGAAAACGTGAGAGTAATTACAAGGAATGATGGTGTAAGTGTTAATATGTCACATGTGTTCAAACAATCATTTAATGGATACATAATATTACCATCAACATCTCGGCGATAGATTTTTCGGACAGCTAATAAATCGTCTGAAATAATGAAAGGAAAGAAAGTTGTGTTTATATATCTGCATTCTGAATATCCGTCTCATTCAATAAACATACATTTCAACACAGAATGAGTTTGGGCATGATTTATCATCTTCTTTTCAACATTTCAATAAACCGGTTCAAATAAATCAGAGTTTTGAGGGTCCTCATTATCAATTCAACAACGAGATGAACATTTCAATGCGAACAACTGAGAAGAATATTTTACTTCCGAAACGTCGGTTCTAAAGGTTTTTGGTTAACTAACATACCGTTGAGATCCTTCCGACAATGCACATACGGACTTATTTTCTGAGATCCTGTTATTCCAATGAAATAATGTTTTCTCTATTTACCTAGCTATTATGAAGAAATGCTACTCCAATGTCATCAATCCTGATAACTGAGCGAGGGAATTAACTTCAGTTTTAT